AAATGGAAATTTTAATAAAAACTAATAGCTTGTTTAGTTCTAAAAGAGTTTTTTATGAATTTTTATTTTTAACAAAGTTTTATGACATAGGGCTTTTTTATTGTAATTAAAAAAAAAAGTCGTGAGATAGGGCTTTTTGGAACAAGCTAAATACAAAGTATTTCATTTCTTTAATAATGAATAATCGGTATGCTATGGAATAAGAGGAAGAAATCAGTTTTTAAAAGTTAATTTATCATAAAAATGGTGGCAATCAGAAGGTATAAACTTTTTGAGTTCCTGTAAATTATCCCACTTTTTCTTCGATATTGCAATTTTGTTTTTTATGTAGATATTTAGGAGTGGTATCTTGAGTACTGATTTTTGATCGTTGTGGAAGTATTTCGTTTTCTCCATTTATTTGTGTTTTGTAATATAATAACCTAGAAGAATCATAAGCCAATGCGGGCAGCATGTTAACAGTGGGATCTCCACTGCTTCTGCCTAAAAAAATTTGCTATTAATATTCCAGATTAATTTTTTGTATAGTAGCTTTTGTTACCTGGTCGAATAGATAAGTATCGCTTTGGAATATTCTCAAAATCCAAAAAATCGTCGTAGTGCAATTGATGTGCTTGTAAGGGAGATGGGTCTCTTCGTGCCTCCCTGATGAATTACCCAAACTGTGAAGGAAAGCTCAATTGCTTTCCACATATTTTTCTTTCTATAAGCGAATGCGTTGAGTCACATTCCATTTCTGTATGCCCACTTATTAAATACTGTTGCTCTACTGTAACGCTAGTTTTCTGACAAAAGGCAAGCAAAGCACTTGATAATGCAAGGGACTGTGTACGTTTGGAAAATTCGGAACAAATCTGTTTTTTTTCGCAAAGTCGACAAGATTTATAACATATAGGCGTTTTTGATCTCACGACATCGACCAAAATAAACTGAATATTTCTATACGTACAGGCTCCATAAAAGCAGAACAATTCCTTAGTGAACTTTTTTCACAAAAATTTGATGAGCATGGTTCACCAAGCTGTCTTGCTGGTCTCTGCAAATCTCCTTTTTTCGATTTACATACATATTGTTCACCCTTCATTCTAATTATTTTGTTCTTATTTTGCATCCATTTAGATGGATGTGCTTTACGACTTCTTTTTGGTGCAGAATCCTTTATCTTTTGATCATCACTGTCAGTGCTTTCACTCACAATATCCATATTTACAAATTTGCACACTTATATTTTATATTAAAGTACAGTTTTCGAAAACAAACACGCTCTGATCTTTACAATAGAAAACTGTTTATTTAGCTTCGATTCATAAAACAAAGAAAAGCGATGAGTACTTTGCAATTAATTTTATTTACCATATATAAGTATAGTGTGAGTTAGGGCTTCAAATAAAAAATATAAATAATATGGATTGAGTTAGGGCCTTTTTTTAATGCTTGTATTACCGTTAATTTCCATAAGAATGCAACAATTTTTTTAGAGAAGGTGCAACTAGAGGTTATACATCAAAATCCGTTAAAACCCCGCTTCGGTAAAAAATATGAGTTAGGGCCTTTCTATATTAGGGTAACGATATGCATACACTGCTTACAATTTGTATTGCGAATGACAAAAGTATAAAATCAAAATTTTTTTATCAAGTGCATGCTGTGTACGCTAGATAGCATACAATCAGGCGCAAAATTTAAACAAATTGTTTGGCTTAAAGTATAGGGTGAGATAATACATACATTATACAACGAAAATCATTTACTTCCGTTTACTTTTATATCTGTGGTGCATACAAAAAGTAATTATGATTGCGACACCATTGCGATAGTGATAGATACTGCCGATCAGTGTTGCCGTTGTGCGACTGAAGGGGCAATTTAACCCTTTTTAGGCGCCAATACCCTTTGATTTTCGTATGATAAATTGTGTAACAATTAAGGCCTAAATTGAGAAAAGGTTCTTAATTGAAAATAAGGTGCCTGTTTGAACATAGTCTAATACTTTTCAGCTTTAAATAGGTCTGGCTCTTGCTTTAGCAACCGAATTAATGTCTGGCAAATTAATTTTATATTCATTAGAACTTACACAACATCATATTAAATTTTGAGCTTTACTAAAATAAGGTGAAAAAATTAATTTTTTTTCATAAAAAATGACGTCTGGCACAATGTTAGCAACAACGGACATGTCTGGCAATAACAAATCTACGTTTCTAAAAGCTAGTTAAAGCCAATGGAAAGAAAATTAGCCTTACTAAAATGATTTAAATAATTAGCATTTTTAACTGTAAAGATAGGATGCGCACTAGTCAACGCAACCATTACCGCCTGCCAGATGGCCCCACGCTAACCGAGGGAGTAAGAGAGATGTCATATTAAAAAACCAGCTGTCCTGAAATTCCTGTTTTCACGACGTTGCTAGCTCCCGTACTAAAAGAAGAAATAATAACGTCGTCGTTTATATAAATTCAGAGTGACAATTCATTTACAGTTTAGAGATCATATGTATGTACCAAGCCACCTATCGAGTAACAAATGAACTAATATCAGAAGCATACCTAGATATTAAAAACACATGATTATAGGAATGAATAAATAAAGGGTCCACAGACCGACCGAGCCTAGCGACGCGTGCGGTACTTTCACTCTTTTATTACTCGTAGGCAAATGCTTGGGCACTCTGGGGAAAAAATCGGAAAATCTGACAACGTCTTTGAAAAGCTAAGGAATTTTTTTTACCATTTTCCTACCTTCAGCGCGAGTTGAAAACAACAGTATTTAGCGCTTGCGCGCCGCGCTAGGAGATTTGAAGTGATTCTCCCCATATACAGTTACTGGCAAAAGTATTTTGGGAAGGAGCGAATCGTTCGTGTTGTCTATCGTTCGTGATACATAATAAGGCAGGTTCTGGCCCGCCAGATCGGAAGAGGTCACTACCTAAGTAAGGACAAAGAGTTGGAGTGTAATTCGAGCAGTTTATAAACCACCAAATTTGAATAGCAGTGTTATATATGTACATATACGTACACGGTTGCTCTTACGGTACGTCTCATTCAGAGTGTCCAGATTGGGCGGTTTAGCGCCAATTAGTCGATTGTTATTAATTTTATTTATAGGAATTCGCTTTGGCCGATTTTGAGCGATGTTTTTCCCTTCAAATCCATTATTTGTGCGCTACCACGTAAATGCGCTCGTTATCTTTCACCCATCGCAACACGTGAGAAATGGGTTGTAGGTTTTGAGCATTTGTTTTGATGTGGCAACCCTTTGTATAGTTATACTTGCCGTACTCAAATGCTTTTGTTGAGTGAGTTTTTCCGTAATGAATCCAACTAAACAAAATTCGGATTAGGATGACGTTGGAAAGCCAATACACGTGCGCACTTAACCGATAAAAGCAATTAAGCGAATTTTCTTTACTGCTTCCATAAGGAAGGTATCCGAATCCCTATTAAACCAAATAATGGCGGAGCACTTACAACGTAGAAATTACTGCAAGCGATATTTTTACTGAAGTGTATCTAATTATCTATATAACTACATAAATTGATTGCCATTTTCGTTGTTCTGCGAGATGAGCAAAATAAATAAAAGCTTGTAAAATGAGGAAATTGTAGCGCCAGTGCAGATAACCGTAATACCTTTTTGATAATTGATAATAGTTGCACAATTTTTAAGGCAGGTATCGCTAACGTGTAGGTATGTTGAATGCATATATCGGAGCAGTTTCTTTATAAATGTTAAAAATAATGCAGCTGATGCGCATTTTAGGGTAGGTGTCTTAAATGTGCACTTAAGCATAAAGGCAGCAAAGCTGTATATATATATAGTTGCAATATACTGTAATTCAATAATTCGAATAAAACTTTATATGAGAGCTAATAGTTTCTGCTGAAAATCGTTTCCAATACGAAATAATACGCTATCAAGTTTGAATATACGACAACAATACAAAAGTTAATGATTTAGACACTATATATGACTTTGAAGAAATTGTGAAAATAGCTTATCTCGCCTAGTTATAGCTTTATATTTTATTTTTTAGTGCCTACCGCTTAAAAGAGGATTTTAATCAGTTAATATGACTTATAATACATTTTTTGAAAGCGCAGTCCTATTGTCAAATGTGTTAATTCATACATTTTTTGTACATCACTTTTATATAAGTGATTTGAGTTATTTATTATTACCCTGAAAGTATTATACTCATAGTTAAAATGAGAGATTAAAAAATTAATTTTGGGCTATTCTTTTCAGAAATGAAGTTGTTTTAAACAATCCGGTAGTAAAATACACGATTTTGAAAATTAAAACTGAGGCTGTTTCGAAACGTGTTATGTAACCGTCTACAGTGCCAATATGTGATGCTGTGTGTATCCAACCGTTGGAAGATCAGTTTACCTTAATATTTGACATTGATTCTGGTTTTTCCTTTTGATTTTATAATTTTTATTCAAATATTGAATTTCAAAAGTTCGTTGTAAAAAATACAAAAAGGTCGAGCGATACCTACCGAATTCTGAATTCCCTAAGTCCCAAGTTATCTCAGAGCCAATTCTCAAGAGAGGCAAGACATTGCGTCGTTTAAGAAAATAGAAATTTAAATCTGTGGTAACTACCTTTATATTTATATATGTACATATTTAACTTTGGATGTTCTGCAAGTGGACGTAATACCATTAACACTTTCTCCGTTTCTCTATGCACTTAAATTTAGTTGATTTTAATACAGCTCCTTTGAACCATAGATCCACCAGTGTTCCTTTATTTCTAATTCAGCACGCAACGGTATTACATATGTATCTGTACCACTTTGTGTTTTTGTATATGCTTAAAAAATTCAGTAGTTTGCATATGCTGTTTGTTTTATATGCTATGAGATTTATGTACATCTATCTATTTTTTAATTTGATTTGAATTCATGATTTGTTTAAAGAACCAAAATTCTTAGAACTGATTTTAAAACTAACATTTTTTCCAAAAAATTTAAAAACAACAATTACAAAATACAGACTATGGCTGCCACCAAGCGCAATGCCGGACTAACTTCAGCTGTACCTCGGGCCACATTGAATGACGAAGAACTGGTAAGTTTAGCGAAATAAGATGTACCTACATATGTATTAATTACGGCTATGAATAAGCACCAAACAAAATGTAGGGTGACAGTATTAAAATCAAAGTAGTATGGATTTATTAAACCTCTACTCTCAAGCCAGATGGCACGGTAGTAATAAAATATAACATTACTTTATGTACTACCAAAAAAAGGTTGTTACCTAGCGAAATCGAGAGTTAAACAGGCATATACTTACATATGCATATGCAGTCAGCGTCAACAATATGAATACCCTATTTTCCATACCATTTTATTATTATTTTTTTTTTTATAAAAACATGGTTCATTCTACAGCAAAAACCAACAGAATAATTTTTTTCAATTTCATATAGAACTCAAGTAAGTTCAAGAAATACCAAAAAAATTTCATCAAAATTTTCAACTTTTCAATTCAATTTCTTAGTATTTTGAGTAGGCAGTTTTGTAGCCCATTAAATTTTGGGTCTCTAAAAATTATCGTTGATTTTTGAAAATTTTTCTGCCAAGTGTGTTTCGCATTTTCTTCCATATAACGCATGAACCAAATCTATTTTTATATGAAAGAAAACGAGCAACACCCTCGACAAAAAAAAATATCAAAAATCAATGGAAATTTTTATATACTTGGAACTTGCACCTAAACATTAATTAAAGTTTTTAAAAATTTTTTAAAAATGGAATTGAAAAGTTGAATTTAGTATAATAAGTTCAAGTTTTCTTTTGCTGACGGCTTTTTGCACATATTTCTATACAAGCATGAATTTTTTATGAAAAAAAATGTGCAAAACCGTTTGGAAAGAAAAAAACGAATGCCAGTTTTTTTTAATTGCACTTGTTATATGAAAAAACCCTCAAAAGCCATCAGCAAAAAAAATATTAAAAATCGACGCTGCTAATGAGCTACAAAACTGCATACTCAAAAAATTCTAAAAAATTAGATTAAAAAGCTCAATTCTTTAAAGAAATTTTGTTAAACTTTTCTAAGCTGTGCACAAAGTTTTAAAATTTGATTTATATGGTTTTGGTTAAAGCATGAATCATATTTTTATGAAAAAAATTTAATCTAAAAACCTTTAACAAAAATTACCATGTGGTACTCGTTTCTGTTCCCCAATACTATTTTATATGATGTCGGCTAAAAAACTTGAAATTATTGCAACAGTAAAATATTATTTTATCAAGTTTCAAGAAAAACACTTTGACGGATGAAGAAGTCTTTCAGGCCTACAAAGATAATATCGCCCGATTCATCTAGATCAAAAATGCTTCAGGCAAGTAAGAGTTACTCTGCATTTTGGCGACGGACCGACATATGTATGTATGTACATTTTTTTATTTGAATCGAATCGTGAATCGTGTATTTGAATTCAACTTTTGATAAGCGAGTCTCCCTGAACGGGGTTTTCCATATTTTTGGCCTGTGTGCGCTTTCATTAGAGACCTAAATATTTCGGAACCGAGTATCGAAAGTATTGGATACTTTTTAAATCGGTACCGAGTATCGGTAATCGAGCACGTAATTCGCTCTCCCAATCGCAATTGGCGCCCCAATTACCCTTCGAATTACGTAATTCGCCATACAAATTTTTTAGAGCGAATTACCACATTTGTAAGTAGTTCAGTCTCAATTTCCTTGCGAATTATGAACGAATCGTTATCGTACCCCATTTTTATCGGAAATTTATAGAAATTAGCTGCCAAATGAAAACGAAAGAGTAAACCAAAGAAAAAAAGTGAGCAAAAGTTGCATAATAACAGAAAAAGTTATTTTATAAAAATAATAATAATAGATTGGCGCTTACAGAATATGTTAGTGTTTGGCAGAGCTTCTCCTCCGATTTTTGGCGTGCGCCTTGATGTTGTTACACAAAGAGGAGGGACCTACAGTTTTACGCCGGCTGCCAACGGCGATTGCATTTTTATGAGAAGCTGTTTTTCATGCAGTGATGTTCAGAGAGATGTTTTACTCTGCGCGCGCCCATATAAAATCTACAGAGAGGTTTTGAAGAGTTTCGCCCGCGGGCGCTGTTTTGAGCATCACTCATGGCAGAAATATACTCGGAGGTTTGCCATTGCTTGCCGAGGGGCGATCGCTGTGAATTTTTTTTTGTGATGTTGCTTTGGCCAGGGCTTTAACCGAGACCCTGCGGAGTGGTAGCGCGCACTGCTAACGTCTACACCACGGCGGCCGCCGGAAGCAAAAAAATAAATTGTTAAAAAAGTATGCTGCAGGATACCATTTGTCCTCAGAGGAACTGTTCCATGAGGAGCAGTTTACTAATGGCCAAAACAACTTTTCGTAAAGTACCTAGAATTAATATAATATTCGCTAAACAAAGTTAAATCTTTATTTTAACTTACTTTTTTCTCCATCATCGAACATTCACAGCAAAGAATAGTAATAAATGGCAAATACCAACAAGCAGTAGAGCTGTCAAACGAGTTATTAAGCGAATTACGTGCCGTGGGAATCTACTTTAAGGGCTGTTTTCACCGACTCTGGTTAACACCAATCCCCAGTTAAACATCGTTGCCGCCGTTACCGACACAGTGTTATATGCATAGTGTCAGTAACACTGACAACGATGTTTGACCGGAGATCAGTGTTATCTAGACATTGAGAAACTGGCCCTAACAGGCCTTTTCCGCTTGTAACCGAACATTTTATAATAAGCATATTTTGTTACCAACAAGTTTCACCACTTCTTGCAACCGCAATTCTATTTACCTTATTTATTCAACAATTGAGCTTTGGAGATTTGCAGAAATTCTGGTGTTGCATATTTCACGGGGCAATATTTTGTTACCTGCTCATGAGACGGTAACAACATTTACCGGTTACAAGGTGTGGAGAATGCCAAAAGGGTTTAAAAATTGACAGTAACTTTATTTATTTATTGTAACCGAAATTCTATGTACATTCGTAATGCCGTCAAAATGCTCAGCTAAACAGTTTGTTTGTTTGTTTGTTTATTTATTGATTTATCCTAACACAACAATCTTACAATTATTTTTTAGTGCTAGTCACGCGTTTACAATTTTTTTATTAAATCTAAAAAAACATATGTATATGATACAGTGTATGGCAATTTAGAATATACTTATGTATTTGGAAAAGAGGGAGAGGGCGGGGAAACAGAAGAAAAAATAATATAATAATAGGTAGACAATAAAAAGAAAAAATAAAATTTATATAATAATATGTAGGAATTGCAGGTACACACAGAGTAAACAAATTTATATATTAATTGCATTCATTGCTATAATAGTTCTTACCCAAATAGGAAGAGAGCTCCAAAGACGTATGGAATTGATAAAAAACTGACGTTCAGAGACAAGGGTTCAATATTTGGTGTGTACTAAAAGTTCAGACTTCGATGATTGGAGAAATTGAAGTCTTTCGTACAAATAACTAGGCTCCTTAGAATTAGTTTTGGTGAAGAAATGGCATTGCATATTTCATGGGGCAATGTTTTGTTACCAGTTTATAATACATGTGTATAAAGTTAGCGAAACAACATGAAGAAAAATATGTCGCATATACCCATGAATTTGTGATTTTTTTCCGTTAATTAGTTGAGGAAAAAATAATTTTGTCTTTGTATTTCTTTTATATATATATAAGGTGATTTGCTAACTTTATATAAAGTCAAAGATAAAAGACTAGGCTTCATATCCGAATTTGCCGTTTTTTTTGCCGTTCCATGATGAGCTAGTTTACTTTTGAAAAAAAAACAAAAAACTTTAAATGAAAAAAAAAATTGGCAATGTTTTTTTCAATGTTCAATAATTTTTAGAAGAAAAGAATAATAATAAAATAGAAAAGAAAAACCGGTTGCTTTATGTACCACTTTGAATTTTAAACAAACAATATTCACCATGGTTAAAATTCAAAAAAATAAGTTCAGCAAAGAGTTCAAGATTCATAGAAAATTGCTATATAATTTTTATCACCCTATCGCCATCTGCATAATCTTCGCTCAAAATAATAATTACCTATTACTTGAATAAATAATAATATGAGCAATTCTAAGCCTCTTTGAATAAAAAATAATAATTTCTTCCAATTAAAAAATAAAGAAAAAATCAAAAACCGGTTTTCAACGAGCCGCATAGAAAATTATGCAACAAAAAATTTATTGCTTTTACTATTTTTAATTAATTATTAAACAGCTTTCCGCGAAAATTATTAAAAAAATAAGGCTGTTTAAACAAAACCAAAATTAAACGACAAAATCAAAAACAGTTCTAATGCACAAAATAAGCCAAACGTCCAATTATGCAACGCAAAAACCAATTGTTTTTATTATTTTTAACCATCTTTTAAACAAAAAAAAAAATGTTATGACAAAATCAAAACAGTTTTAATGCACAAAACAAGCCAAACGGCCAAACGGCGGTGTAAAAATTGGTTCAAAATAATAAGAACAATAGTTTTTTTTGTTGCACAATTTGCCGTTAGGATTGTTTTGTGCATTGAAACTGTTTTTTATTTCGCCGATTATTTTTTATTTTTATCTTGTTTAAACAGCCTTGGTGATTATTGTTTGTTTAAATTTTCAAAGTTGTACATAAAGCAACCGGTTGTGCTTTTTTATTTTATTATTATCTGTTTCTTCGAAAAATTATTGAACATTGAAAAAAAAGTTATATAAAGTTAGCAAAACACCTTATATCTAAAAAATACAAGAATGACAAAATAATTTTCTCCACAACTAATTAACGGCAAATTCATGGGAATATGCAACCGCCTTATTAAAAAAAAAATTAGGGACTTGGAAAGTGGTTTAGAAATTGGTTAAAAATAATAAAAACAATTGATTTTTTTTTGTTGCATAACTAGCCGTTTGACTTGTTTTGTGCATTTAAAACTCTTTTTAAATTTGCTATACATTTTTTTTTTGTTTAAACAGCCTTATTTTTAAAAAAATTTAGAGACTTGGAAAGCGGTGTTAAAAATAATAAAAACAATATTTTTTTTGCATAATTTGCTTTATTTGTGCATTAAAACTGTTTTTAATTTTGTCTATTCTTTTTTTATTCAAACTACCTTATTTTTAAAATAAGTTTGGCGACTTGGAAAGCGGTTTAATAATTATTTAAAAATAATAAAAGAAATAAATTTTTTTGTTGCATATTTTTCCATGTGGCTTTTTTAAAAATGGTTTTTGATTTTATCATTCTTTTTTTAATTGGAAAAAAAATATTACTTTTTATTCAAAAAGGCTAAGAATTGTTCCAGTTATTATTTACTCAAGTAATAGGTAATTGTTATTTGGGGTGAGGATTATGCATATGGCGAAAGGGTGATAAAAATTATATACACTGCCGGAGAAAAGTATAGGCACAGCAAATTTTTCACAATATATGCAACAATTTTTTTCATTCAATAACAAAAAAACATAAAAATATAATTCCTAAACTTTGTGCAAAACTCGCGAAAATTCAGCAAATTTTCATCAAAATTTTCAACTTTTTAATCAGATTTTTAGAATTTTTTGGGTATGCAGTTTTTCAGCCCATTAAATTCTAGTAAACAAAAATGCAAGTTCGGAGTTAGTCAAAAATCGCGTTGAATTTTGAGATTTTTTTTTGTTGAATATGTTTTGCATCTCTTCCATGTAAATTATTTTCGAAAAAAACTGGTTGTATGGAAGAGACTGCGTAAAAAAAATTGCCAATAATCAACAGTAATTCCTAGCTACTTAAAACTTGCACTTTGTTATAATAAAATTGATTGGGCTACAAATCTGCATACTCAAAAAAAATTCTTAAAAATCTGATTAAAAAGTTGAAAATTTTCATGTAAATTAGCTGAATTTTTGCGAGTTTTACACAAAGTTTAGGAATTACATTTTTATATTTTTTGTTGTTGTAGAATGAACCATAGTTTTATACGATGTTAGCGGAAAAATATTAGAATACAATTTTTTGCATATATTGTGAAAAATTTGCTGTGCCAATACTTTGTTCCGGCAGTGTAGCAATTTTCTATGAATCTTGAACTCTTTGCAGAGCTTGATGAGGATGCTTCTTTATTTTTTGAATTTTAACCATGGTGATTATTGTTTGTTTAAATTTTCAAAGTTGTACATAAAGCAACCGGTTATGCTTTTCTATTTTATTATTATTTGTTTCTTCGAAAAATTATTGAACATTGAAAAAAAAAGTTATGTAAAGTTAGCAAAACACCTTATATCTAAAAAATACAAGAACGACAAAATAATTTTCTCCACAACAAATGAATGGCAAATTCATGGGAATATGGGACATTTTTTTCTTCATGTTGATTCGCTAACTTTATACACATTTATGTATTATACATTCAAATTGACGAGTTAAACATGTTAAATGAGCTTGAACCAGTTAAAGGAATAAAAGGTGTTCATAAACAAGTTAAATCATTTAACTCGTTTGAAACCCATTTCAGCGGAGAGTTGTATCAGAAAGCTTTCTGCTTCAGCCAATCAGAGAGAGCATAACATTAAAAATTATCAAAAAATATCAAAATTTTTGCATGTCTGCCCGTCAAAAAAGAGGCCAAGGCGATAATTAGTTATTTCCCGTCAGGCCTCATCGTACGCAGAGATAAATAGTGCATACGAAGTCAAAACAAATTTAAACACAAAAAATCGATTTTGAATATTTTTTTAAATTTTTATTTGAAATCAAACAACCGTCAAAATTAACTCCAAATGTTCAATGTGGACGATTGTGTGTTACAAAAAGCCATGGTACAATTATTACAGGTATTGTCTTCCCAGAGAGTTTTGCTTCACATCGAAATTCGTGCTCGCTTATTTTCAGTTTGACGCTTTTCAATGTTGATTCTTTTACTTTTAGTTGGCTTTGCTTTTGGTTTTCGCTCAATTTAATTTTTATAATTTTTCAAAACAAAAGAACAAACGTTTGAAATAAAGTGAACAATAACAATTCTCGATTTATTTACTAAGAAAATGTTTATTTTTCGGCTTTTGCAAATTAAATAAGTTCTATGCAAGAAGGTTTGTTTACAAAAAATACGTGGACATATGTATATGGTATATGGAGAATAGAAATATCCCTTTTTCTTTACAGTAAACCTTTAGGTGTTGGCAAAAATGATATTTTTAAAATAAGGCAGATCGGAATATACGCTCTCTGGGAAGACAATACCTATAATTATTGTACCATGACAAAAAGCTATTTTGCATTTAACAAGTTAAATGGGACTAATTTTAATGAAATATAAGATATGTAGTAACAAAATTTACCGGTTACAATAGTTCATAGAATGCGAAAAGGGTTTAAAATTTGACGGGAACTTTACTAACCGGTTAACAAATATTTGTTACCAGTGCAGTCACATTTGTTTCTCACGTTGGTTTTTATTATAATTCTGCTTTAGAAAATGCACGTCTACAAGAAGGCTCTGCAAGCGCTCATCTACCCAATTTCCTCCACAACGCCGCATAATTTCGTGCTATGGACAGCGACATCACCGACGTACTGTTATGAGTGTGAGGGATTATTATGGGGCATCGCCCGTCAAGGAGTTCGCTGTACAGAATGTGGAGTGAAATGTCATGAAAAATGTAAAGACTTATTAAATGCCGATTGCCTGCAAAGTAAGTAAATTCAAAAAAGTAATTTTAATAACTCTTTTTTTCTATATTTCGATGTACATAAGTATATAATAAGCGCAGGCATTTTTTGTGAATATCATCATATCTGCTCCGTTCGTTCGATTTTCAAAATATGATGAGTTGAATTTTTTGTGATTAGAACTTTTTTAGCGGTACAGGGTGATGTGAAATTTGATGAAATGAAAACCGGTACAGTTGGCACAGAGGAGAAACGACTTGGCGGTTACAGCGCCAAAGAAGAAGAAAAAGAAGAAAACCGGTACCTTGAGAGACAGACCTCTGCGCACTCAAACACGTCTGGACGGATTTTGATGAAATTTGGCCCACGGATTTTTTAGGTTTTTAAAGGAGTTGCAACCTGTTTTAAAAGTTAAATTCAAGTTAATTCATAAATTAATTGAAATAAGTATGCATGACAACATGTGTGTCAAACAAGAGAGAATTAGGAAGGTTTTAGTTTCCATATTTTTTTGAAGATGTCTGCCACCTGCTAGAAAAGTCTGATTTAAATACATTATACACAAGTTATGCAAGATATTTCAATATTGGTGTCAAAAGAAAGAGTTTTAAGAAAGTTTTAGTTTAAAAGCTTGAAACGAACTGAGAACGACAAATTGTAGGAGGTAAAAAGTAGTTGAATGAAAACAAATACTAAGTTAATAATTTTTGCGATTGGTTTCATGCAAAAGCACCATTTGAAAATTTCTATTGCGTGCAATATCTTTGTCAATGATTTTGGTTTCAATGCCATACGGGTGCACTAGTATTTTTTATTACTGAAAAAATTCAATGTCACTACATGATGGTTTCAACCGGACTTTCAAAGACTTCATCAATAATACTTAGTTGCAAGGCATCAAAGCGTTTCTGCATTGTGCCCGTAATGTACACATACAAAATTGTCAGCAAAAGGCACTAGACATTGCAAAAAAGGCAAAAGAAGGCACTAAAAACGACAAAACCGGGAAAATAATAAAAATAACCATTTATTGTAGAAATGTTTATTTTACAAGTAAAAAGGGACTATCTATGAACTAGTTTCATTATATGAAAAATCTTTGACTATTTTCTCCTTTCCAGTTTTTAACCCACAAAACTTTAATCTCTATAGTTGTAGTAGCATTGAACCACAAGATGCATTTTGAAGTTTTCTGGCAGCATTTTCATTCGATTTTCGAATGGAACGTTTAAAACTTTCATATTGTCCGGAATAAGAGCTTTTTCCTTGCCCTTTACAATTAAGGGAAAAAATGCAAATATCTTAAAAACGCCAAAAAAAGGCAAATATCTTAAAAAAGGTTACAAAGGCAACATCAAATAAGTATATATAGAATCAGGGAAAGCTAAATCGTGGGCATTCTTAATCAAATATACTCTATCACCTTAGCAGAAGAAAAGGCAAATTCCATAAAGGCGTTCCCTGCATATGCCATTATTTGCGTTATAAGTATAACACGTTATTAATAGCATAATAATATTTGATTGAAAAGAGACAGAGAGATATAGGATAATATAATAGCGAATTCCATGTAAAAGAAAGAGAGAACTGCTCACACGTGAAACGCATATGCGTTAGATTTCTTTAGGAGCTCTATGTAAAATGATGGAAAGTTTTTGAATTTCTCACAAAAACTGTTTGTAGTAACAGGCGTACATATATAACGCATTAGTTAACAGATAGGGTTCTTACTGGTTAGTGTAATTATACGTGTGTGGAAAGCCTAAAAAACGCACCGCTGCCGTAAGCCATTACAGTTATCTGGAGAATTTATTTTAATCATCGTCCTCCAAATAAGTCGATAAGTTTGGTACAAGATCCCGATTCTATACCCGTAAAGAGAGAGTTCAAACAAATGCTATCGTTATCATTTAATATAATGACAAAATTGTTTAACTTTAATTGATGAAGTCAAGCTAGTTGTTAACAGACGCATTCAGATAAAGGTTAATTGCCAGTGTTGCCAGATTTTTTCAACAAAACTGTAATTTTCCGGTAAAAACGAAGAGTTTTTAAAAAACTAAGGTTAAATAGAAACAAACGATTAATTTAAAATAAGATAAACTGTTTAAGTTATGTTTAACAAAACCAAAAAAGACTACAAAAAGGATTATTTAAATCACATTTTATTTTTTTTTGAACATTTGATTCTATACATCAAATTTAGTATCTCACTTAATTTTAAGAAATCTTTAGTTCTAAAGATTTTTTCTTCGTTTGAATACGCTTTTTTTCTGCACTATGCAGAAGCTTTGTCCTACGTAATGATGAAAAACCCAACAAAAACTAAAAACTATAAGTCAGACGGCAATTTAGCCTAGGATCTCTTTTAATCCAACGAATAATAGCAATCATCTCTGCTCTCTGCACACCCAGCTACAGCTCGAACTAGAGGCACTATCGATAGTTTCAATTTATCACCACTTTCGATGAATGGTGCTCACTATCGTGATACTATCGGAAATATTTTTTCATCGTTTTTTATTCCGTTATTCGATGTCAGTTATAATTCCCACTTCAAGAATTCACAATTATTTGTGCGATCATGTAAACATATACGGAGTAAATATGTTCGAAAAATTTTTTATATATAGAGAATGAGCAAAATCTTTAACAAAAAACTGTCGAAAATCAAGAATAAGCCCTGGCTACTTCAAACATGCGCTTTTTACTAAAATTTAATGTACTGCAAATATTCAGTTTAATTTCTTAGAGTCGTTCAAACTATTTTTATTTTTAAGTTTGTTTAAAAAGTTACTTTTCGGTTAAAATACATATATCAAATCGATAACCTAGAAAAAAGAAAATGACTCTGAAAAAATCATGTTACTTTCTTCTTAGTGTAAGCATACTTAATTTATACTGAAATACTTATCTAATCTAGTTCCTTGAAGGGAGATCGTGTATGTTCATTAAAATGTGATTTCGTTTTCAAATCCATTTTATTGTTTAGTAATCTAGATTAGATGTGCCTACAGCAGCGGCAACGTATGCACAGCCTGTACAAAATTACTACGGGAGCAATCTCAAAGGAACATGCGACAAATACCACTGCTGGAAGGAACCTTTCGTTTTTTTCGAGTATGTCCTATCAAAACACTATTTGTTCCCCTTTATACCCGAAAGGGTATTAATTCGCCTAGTCGCTTTAAAGAAATAAAAACTAGCGCTAGCTGCGATTCAAACTGGGGTTCTCTGGTTTGCTAAGCAAACACTACCTCTGCATGCCAACACTGTATTTTAAATGATCTCAAATTATACCGGTAAGGGATGAGTTGAAACTAACTGATTTCCAATAATACCCGCATGAGACAAGTTGCAACTAACAAATGCCCAACTGTACCCCATTGATACTAATCCTGGAATACTCTCTTTAGAGATTAGTCGCGCAATTTTTTGCAGGATATTAATCACTACTAGAGATGTCAGTGGCAAAAATACATCGATGTATTTCTTCACTTCGATACACCGTCTATTTATAGATCGAGTGGAAAATTTTCGATGCATCGAAGTTAAACATCGATATTTTCGATGTATCGATATTTTTCCGACATCCCTAATCGCTACACACTTATCTTCGAGTAAAATTGCGTATATGTACAATAATAAGGCTGCCAGACGTTCTGGTTTTCCAGGATTTGTCCTGGTTTAAACAAATTTTCCACACTTAAATTGTCCTAGTTTTTAATGAAGGTCAATGCAGACACCCATCTAATTTTTAGCAGATTTATGCTTTGAAAAAAAGCATTAGTAGTCGAAAATCGATAATGAAAAATTTTTTCTAACATGTTGAACAATATCTGGTGAGTTTACCTTCTTTTTGTTTAGTTTATTTGGTTAAAATCTAATTTCGTATCTTCAGTGCAGTTCCTGAACAGATACACGGCTGAGGGGTCACACTTACCACGCTGTAGATAATTTCAGGAGTTAAAATCTCTTCCAAAAGACCTTTCTGAAAGTCATTCCTTTCTCCTTCCTTTTTTGTACAGTGTGGCACAAATTGAAGGGGTTCTGCCTTCGCTACTCAAAGAAGAGCTTCCAGAAGGGCTTTTGTAGGACGTACTTCTGAAGGCCTTTGAAGAAGTTTTTTTAAAACTGTTTTTAATTCATAAAATTTATACTTCTTTAGGGAATTTAAATATTTAAGGTTCATATCAAATATGTTTTATTGAGGCTTAAAGCGCTTATTGAATCCTTTTTGTAATGCTAAATAATATAAAAATATACTTAAGTACATTTGCGTAAATTGCAAATAGGAAACCCCTTTCTAGGAAGTATGCAGGGAAGCACTTTTTTCAGTCCTTATTGGGTAAGTCTTTTAGAATGGCTTCACTTCAGACAGCCTTCCTGAATTATCTTTAGGTTAGGCATACATGTACAAAAATTATCATGAAGCGCATTATAGGATATGTGGAAATTTGTTAATGGTGGTAAGACAAGCATTCAAGACCACGTTAAAAGCATCAAACACTTCACAAACATTCCAAGTTACGTCACCGTCAAGAGAAATTTGTTCTTTTATGATTTAAAAAAAATCAGAACATGAGCGTTTCATCGTCTTCAATCATTCAGCTCTACGGATTGTGCCACAAAACTAATTGCTTATAATATCAGAAAATTCTTCAAAATAATGCAACGCCAGAACCAGAGCAACTGAATTTATAGGGGATAATTGTCCTGGTCGATGGGTTCAGGATTATGGCAGCCCTAACATATAAGCAATTTTACAACAGCTGCAGCGAGTGTTGCTAATTTTAATGAAAATGCATCAGAACACTAGAAAAAGCCCATTTTTCCAAAAAGTACTAAATTTAGTGCGAAATGCATTGCGTTGGAAACAGGGACCTGTGCATAAGCATGCTCAAACAGTGATGTCAGATCAAGTAATGAGTAAAAGTACTGTGTATATTTCTCCATGAAGTAAAAAGTTATAAATGGCGACGAGGTTAATTTTTAGTTGCTGCACAGAACACTGATAAGATTCACATATTTATCTTAGGACTTAATTAATATAATATCGAGCCCTAACCGCCGAAATAACGTAAGCGACACTTTTTTCAAAATTTTCTTTTTGGTGCAGAAATATTCCTAGAGCATCTAGGTGCATTTCTGCATCAAAAAGAAAATTTTGAAAAAAATGTCGCTTACGTTATTTTGGCGGTTAGGGCTCGATATGTTAAACCAAACCAAAATCCTTCATATGAGTTATTATCGGTAAATATTTAAGTACACTCACTTCCTTTACCCCTTCCGCTAGTTTTTTCTTTCCCTTCTTGCCGGGCTCCCCATATTTGCGAATCTGGGCGTCGCTAGTCTAGTTAATTGGATGTTGGTTAAGGTATTGAGTTAGAAACTGTTATGATTGGTTTATTTGTGAAATATGTCAATCTAGTTCCCTGACTTTCAAATGCTTCTGGCAATATCTTAAATCGTGTTGGAGGTGAGAAATTAAACAATCGATGTATCGCTTTTATTACCGCTATCGAAGTTTTCAAACATCGATGTTTTAAGAACGAGTTATGCAACAACTGCAAATTAGTGACCACCGGGTAGCTTCGACTTCACTCCATTAAAGTACAGCGCCGGACTATACATACATAAATAGTGTGTCTCTAAAGCGCGCCCTTGTTCGACCTCTAGAAAATAGACCAATCACAAACGATGATTGAATAAATACATTGATTTTCAATTTTTAGGCCTGGAGGAACAAAAGAAAATTTCAAAGAAGCAGACTTATCTCTTTTCATGTTCATTTTTTTCTTTAATTTGCTTACAAATAGGAGCCGCCGAAAAGAGTTCGAAGCATGGAGCAGAAGACAAAGCCAATTCGATAATAACGGCCATGAAGGATCGCATGAAGCAGCGTGAGCGGGAAAAGCCCGAAATTTTCGAGCTGATACGGTAAGTTGCATAGGTCTAAGGTATTATCTCACTTGTTCATACATCCGTTCGTGATGCAAACGTTTAGAAAAAAGATAAAAATTGCAACCGAAAGGTGAAACGAGGTCATAAAAAACGACTAAAAAGATAAATTCCCCAAAAAAAATAACCTAGCTATGCAGATTAATTTCCAATTTTGGTTTTCGGCAAATCAATTAAACTTTTTGCTCGATTCTGTTTTGGTATTCATATTTACTTTCATGCTAAGCATCTACTGCCGATTTATTGAAAAAGTATTTAAGTAACATACAGCACTCCCTCTTCTAAAGAGACACAACTCAATTCGAAGAATTTATCTTCAATTAATGCAAATACATATTTTTATTTTTTACGATTATATTCTCTAACTATTAAACTACTTATGTATCGGTTTTTTTATTAATTTCGTTGAATCTGTACGACCCGTAAGAAGTTATACAACCGGATCTGATTTTTGAGTTGTGCATATTTTAAAGAGGGACTGCGTTATATTTTCCTCACATATAACCAATTGCTTTAAACTTATGTACAGATTAGTAACACATATACAACATATACTATTTTTGTATATGTATATCGTCAAAAGGTTGGGAGTCATTTTCTTATGCGCTTGCTGGCTATCGGGAATACTAGTTTTGATAACACACAGAGTTCACAGAGTTTTAGTCAGACAGTTGCGTACAAAAAACATTGACTCCCTTAAATGTGCTTCTGTTTAAAGCATTATAAATTGTATCGGATTTCCAAATAGCGACAGAGAAATCATATTTTAAGATTATCTTACATTTCAGAACGTAGAATACCTCATTTAATTTAAAAATATGGGATTTACTATAATCCGCAAGAGACTTATATCGGCTTAAGCAGAATGCCCCTTGCTGCAGAATCATCGGCGAACCACGTCAGGCATCTTAGATTTTTATATATCCGTCCTTTATATATGTAGGTCACCAGAAAAGGCAAGCAACAATGAAGGTTGTTAGACAATATACGCTTCGAGGTCTTTTCCGATCCCACCTTGACTACAGATTTGCTAGAGCATATACAAATTTTTCAGGGGCAGCTTGCAAGTGGCAAACCCCATATTAAGGAATTATTTTCCTGGAATGATCTACTTCGTGGCTACCCACTACATTCGTGTGTCCGGGAACCCAAATTAAGTTAAGCTGTAGCGCAGCTCTCATTGCAGCTTAGCTGTCACTGAAGACGAAAACACCTGTTCTAAGTTTATTTATAAACTACATAATAGCTGAAAACTCAGCGTGGAAGTCACTACAGTATACTGGTAAACGAAATGAGCAGCTCATGGCAAGGTTTCGCAGTGAAAAAATTTTTCTAAAAAAGTTAACCGACTTCTCCCTGCTTGGGTTTCCTTTATCGAAATTTCTATCAGGTACCAGTTTGACCGCATCGTTCCAATCTGCCCGGATGGATATCAAATTTGTGTCAAGAGTCCTTTCTCCCACTAAAATGTCTGTCTTAATCCGTAACTGGTATCGTGGGGTCCAAAGGAACCCCACCACCAATTGGATAAATTTGCTCAAAGCCAAAGGCTAAGTAATAAGTGGGTATAAAATGAAATATTTATGATAAAATTAATAAAAATTTGATTTCTATTTCGAGAAAATTTTATTATTTTAAATGCTTAGGTTTTTCCACAATTTGTGTATGTAACACTATTTATTTGCTTTTCAATTGGGTTCCAAATGAACCCTCGATACGAACAATGTAACTTAAAATATGGCTTAAACGAAGAGCAACAAGAGCTGTTGTCCCTCTATACTCAGTTGCAGAAAATCCAAAAGGACATTTAAAGCGTCATTTGGTGTTTTTCGAATTGTTCCGCTGATCGAGATCTTACTAAGCCATTGTACTTTACTAAGCAGTTAATTTATCTATGGCCCTCTCTCAAGAGTACAGAGCTATAGAGGTCTTCTCATACTACTTTCTGCTTCCTGATCATCTTTTTATACAAATCATTATTCGTAGTTCAATAAGTGATCGAACACACTGTCCCGTTTTCATACAGTTTTTTTTATGTCAAAGGCTTGGCTTTATTTCACAGGTTTTATTTCGGAGCTCACATCTTAATTAGCGTTCTGTTAATGCAGCCACTCTGAAAATCTCCGCGTACGCGAGATATCACCGTTTGAAAATTTTTCGAATACAAATTTTCTTGGTTTCACATATGTCCTGCTACTTACCAAGTGCGATGGATGATATCCATTATCGATACCCTGCATCGATGCATAACTGATAACTACTAGATACGTGGAGTTGAGAAATATTAATTTGAATGAATGGCGATTTATATATATTAAGCTTCCAAAGCTTAAATTTTCTAGTATGTACATAGTTGAATTGTATTCTAATTTATAGAATGCGAAACATGAACTATCCGTGGCGCCCTCAAGCGATACTCTGACTGATTTTTCCGTTTCTAGTAAGAATAATAAATGCATGGTTGGCAGGAAAGCATGAGAATGCAACTCAATCAGCAGCATGAAAATCAATAGACCACGAATTAACAACTATAATCTTAGATGATTCGAGACTTAAATGCATTTGGTTTTATAATGGTCCCCATTTTATGGATTTTTGTAGTTCAATCAACTATTCATTAAACTACAATTTCCAATAACTTACTTTGAAAATGTTTACAGCCGAAATGCACACTCATGAATTTGTTTTTGTAGTATCGAGATGTTTAATTGGAAGATTTTTTTGCAAGGACGTTGCTTAGGATACTAGTTTTAATTTTTTTATCGAAAAAGTAAAATCACACTATAACGATAAAAATGTACAAAAAAAATATATTAAAATCAAAAAATAATGATTTATCTTGATTTGAATGAAAAACTTTGATCGAATAAATAGAAATGCGATTTCAACGGCTTAAGAATGATATTTACTATAAGGGTAATAATCGTTATGGTCACTGATTAAACGTGCTTACTCCGCGTTCGCAAAGGAGCTTACCGGATCTAAGATCTACTTCGAGAATCAATGTGTATGGACATTCCTTTTCCACCAAATGGCTACTTAAGGTCTTTTCTAATACCTACGGCAGGGGTGGAGTTATCGCATAATGATACTTTGGCATTAGCCATGGGATGCGATTAAAAAGATTTTGTATGTTAAGCGTATGTATGGCTGACTTAAAAAAGGTACCAATACAATGTTTGGATACCGTTCTACTGAGGTATTCAAACTGTTTGTATATGCAGAGTTGCGAAACATTGCAACCACATACATTGCATATTTTGAATATTCAATATAGCAATGAATAACCTTTCGTAATTTTCCATATTCACGACACCAATCGCAACTAAAAATAAACGAAGCATCAACTTTGTTCCTGATGCGCTGATTACTCTAGCGATGCGTTTCGATAACTTTTCGTTTTGGAAGAGTATACATTGTCAACATTTTGTAGTTCGACGTTATGGAACATTATACTTTGTACGTATGCAATGCAATTGACGTTTTAGAAAACAGCCTACATATGTTATTTGTCACGTGGTTAGGCGCGCTTGTCCGCCGATGATTCTCATGCCAAGATTTTTCATGCCAGAACTGCGTTTGGATTTTCACCATTGCCTTCCGGGAAGCTAGAATAATAAAAATATTAGTGGGATTCATGAAAAGTTGCAAAGTTGTTGCAAATATCGCATTTGTCGCAAAATTTGCAACCTTGTGACACAGTTGATTACTTTTGTATGGAAACTTTCTTACGACAAAATTGCGACATTGCCATAATATATGAGCTGGCAATCATTGCAAAGTCAGAGTCGCGAAACACATGTTTTTTTCATTGTCCTCAAATACTTCAAGAAAAAGTATATCAGTTAAGGCTGCTTCGAAATATAATTGTAAAAACTTTTCTTTTTCTCTAACTCGCGGCATTTTTAAACAATTTTACATTTGCAATCCGGAATTGCGATAGGTCGTTCATACAACTTTGTTCGTAACTTTGCCATTTCGCCCAAAAATGCCACCTTGCGACGTTTAATGAATCGCAATATTTGGTTCCTTCTAACGGGTGATTTTTTAAGAGCTTGATAACTTTTTTTTTAAAAAAAACGCATAAAATTTGCAAACTTTTTGAAGATAATTTCATTTAAATGTTGACCGCGGCTGCGTCTTAGGTGGTCCATTCGGAAAGTCCAATTTTGGGCAACTTTTTCGAGCATTTCGGCCGGAANATTCAAACTCGGAACTTACAAATTCGAACCCGGCGAACGCTTAAAGATGACACCATAAAAATGTTATTTTGCTGTGTAGAGCATAACTGTCGTCTAACGGTCACTTCATTAATACTTCGCCAAATATACCAATGCCAATTATTAGAAAATACTCAAGTAGCACACTAGTGTATAACTTGGTGTAAATTTATGAATTTTGGTACAATTATTCAGATTTATACCAAACTTCGTAAATTTCCACCAAATTATACATCAGTGTGCTACTTGAGTATATGTATGTGTGTACATACCTGTAATACCCCCACAACCTGGTCATGTATAACCTCAGCACTTTGATACCAATATTTAAATATAGGCAATTAAGAATTCTGTAATCAACTTGCTTACTTGCGCTATTACTATATACATATGCATATGTATGTATACAACTTTTTAAGCAGCACCATTTTTAAAATATTGTCGAAAACGGGTAGGTATAAACCGTAAATTTTTTATGTATGTACAAATATATGTACATAATTTAGCATAAATGGGGTTATTGAAAATTCATTCAAGCCGTTGCATTATCCATATGTATATTCATCAATAAAAATATTCATAAAACAAACTACCACTACACCTGTCATTTAAAAACCTCAACATTAACCTACTATAACAATTACCACCATTCCTTTACTACGATCTGTGCGCATGCGCAGTGCGGTATTCGGCGTAGAAGAGAAGAGTCATACAGGTCACATGAAGGCAGTTAAACAAAGCGTTTTGGATGGTACTAGCAAATGGTCGGCAAAAATTGCAATTACAGGTTTGCATCTTTTAACTATGAATTAAATAAGAACTCAGTTTGTGTCTTTGTAATACGCACATATCTAAAAAACACTTCAAATACAACGGAAAATAGAAACACAAAATCCAAAACATGAAATTCAAAGCACGAAATACAAAATAAAATAAATAAATAAATACAAAAATCTAAAATCAAAACACAGATTTAAAAAATACAAAAAAGTCAGAATTCAAAACAAAAATACAAACAACCTAAACAAGAAATTAGCAAATTCTAAGCGACAACAATGTTCTCCTTTTAATAAAAGCACACATGCTAAAACACTGAATTTCCAAAAACAAAAATCAACAGGAACATAAAGAAACAACAATAGTTTTTTATAGCAATATCGCAACACACGCAAATGACCTAATGTGTTTTATTATAATTTCGAGATGAATAGAATACCATTTCAAATTAATTTGCTGAAAAAGAACCTATTGTGTACATTTGTGTGTTTCGATGTTTGATATATCATATATATACATATATTTATGTATTTTATATAATTCGATAAATTTAAATCAATCAAAATATCAACTGGAGTAATTATAAGTACAAGTATGTATGTGTGTGTTACTTTGTAGCAGTTTAAATGTCTGTACCCGTAAGTGTGTACTCGTATGTAGTATGTACTATATGTATATGTGCTACATATGTATGTAGTACAAATGAGAAACTTGCCTTTACATTTTATGTGTATGTGCATCCACAATATTTTTTTATTATATAGACATATATACATAAAGGATTGCTTAATTACGATTTCCAAACATACATACATATATAATGGCTTACATATGGACTCTTTAAAAAATATGTGTACTATAATTTTTTGTGCAACGAACATTTAAAATTTTCACATTTTGTTATATATGTACGTATGTATAAACCGCTAATCTGTCTAAATATATATATATATATATATATATATATTTTTATGCATATATGTAGGCATTTCCATGCGTATTTCCTTCAGGGCATTTAATAGCAATTTATTTCTACATGCAAACATTGCGATGTAGATTGTAGTAAAAAATAAGCAACGCTTCGTCTCTCCCCGTCAATGTAAACAGGTATTTGCTAAAATGTGGGGCCTCTTAGCTAGAGGAATTCTGTGGATTTACAGCTCTATGATCAAACCCTTAATGAATAGCGTGGGAAATCTGCTTGCCAAAATTCAAAGGACTACCGCAGTGTGCTATACAGAGGCTTCCCTACAACACCTTGGGCTGCTCTGGATGCACTGCTAAACCTACTGTCACTTAATACTTTTGAGGAGGCCAGTTAGGCCACCTGATGTCCGATACTGAGTCCAAACTTACACATTGTAAAATCTTTATTGGTGGCTCCAAAGCTGACGTAGAGGCAGAATATGGAGTATATATCGAAAGTAATGGAGGACAATATTCTCTTCTATCTTGGGAAGTATGCCGAGGTATTTCAAGCTGAGGTATTGCAATCCTCAAGGCCATGGAGTTACGTACATTTTTTAAATTATAGTCCAAACACAAAAATTTGTTTCTTCTTTCCATTCATAAGAGTGTTTTTTTCCCTTTTCAAGAAAAATGTGTACATTTTTCATATTAAAGAAAAGAACAAAATCCCTTTTCAGGTTAGCCTTTTTATTCCATATAAATCATATTTGTATTTTTCAAAAATTGAAACTTTTCTTTTCTTTATTCATCCCCGGGTCCCTGAGATGCAGCCGGGCCCGGTCTATTTCACAAGAAATTTTGCTCACACAAGGTTCGCATATTCCTCTGCATTTAGCGGCAAAAGTCGAAACTATGACTAATTATTGAAGTATTTCCCAGTTCTGAGCACGATTTTGCCTCCATGACGCTTCGCAGTCACCCAACTCCATGTACAGCCAATCTGCAGATTTCTATCAAAAAGCCCATTTCTGTATATTTCCAAAAGACTGTCTTATACTTTTGTTTCCACGGGACAGATTATGGAAATTATCTTGATAAAAATTGGTCATTTTTAATTTCGATCCCTACACTACATGCATATTCTTATTCAGAAATCATGGCATTAGCATAGCATGATACTGGGTCAACAATTAGGACATAGGGCTGGGACTAAGCTAATATTCGGATGTCCCGTTAATTTTGCTATCCGGACATCTGGTTAATATTTCTTGCATTTTTTTATCCGGTAATTCGGATTTTTTAATTAGATTTTTGAACATTCGAACGTCCGGATAGAACTCCCAGCCGTAGTGATAGCATTCTGTGTGAACTCTTAAGTAGTTAGGACATTTTAAGATGCAATCACACTCATCAAAAATCAGCAGGAAAATCATTAGGTTTTATCGTCCCATAGTAAGTATGTCGTCTTATCTGCAAAATTGGAGTGTTGCAAGGCGAATTAATATAAGGTGATAGCAGGAGTACAAAAACAAAAATTTACATATATTTTGTTTTTGCTTTGGCGGCATAAACTGTCAAAATCTGTAAGAGTGTGTGTAGAAATTCAAACAAAATTTTTCAATTTGATATCAGAAGCCGTGCGGCGAAACACATACACAAAATCAGCTGAGCTAGTAACACCACCTTATATTAATTCGCATTGGAGTGTGGTGAAATGCAGTTTGATTTGGTAGCTCTCGTTTTTCAAATCTGATTTTTTCTGTGCTACCCCTTTATATATAAGTAGATTAGCCTCATTTTCCGCTTAACTTTACTATCTGTAATTAAAAAATCAGATTAATTATAAAATAATCTCAGATTAAACCGATAACTTTTCGGTGTCTAACCAAGTTTTATCGATTATTTTTGCGAAGAAGAGATTAGAAGTTAAAGTAAACTAAAATGAACGCTAGGAAGAAAAAAACGTTTTTAAAGGTATTTTTAATAAAATATGAGGTTAAAATTTATTTAAATTGCTTAATTTAGCAGAAAAAAGTGGCACAGGGAAGAATTTGAAAATTTCCTTGAGTTGTGAGAAAAACAAACTGTCCAGCAAAAAATCTCAGATTTCCCTGTGTAAGCGGGGTGATTAACAATTAATTAGTTTATATATATGTATATGTAAACGTAGTTTTATACTAGTCCTACAAACGAAACTTTTTCTGCAAAACTTTAGCCCAATCGGTTAAGAAATAGGATGCCTATCGACCGCTACAATTAAACAAAACAAGCTAATTTATATTGTTAATCTTAGTAATTATAATTAATTATTTTACATTATTTTTTGTTGTAAACTTTACAGTTTAAATAGTGTTCAATGTAATAGTTTTAAGGGACATTACGCGTGAAAGGTATAATTTTGATTGTAGTAATATTTGCTATACATATATGTATGTTATAGTACACAAATATTTATCTGTGGACCTTTGACAAAAAAGAATTTAAGTGATTTTAAAATGTTTGATTTAAAGTGAAAAAATAATAATGTTCCATACAAGAGATTTACACTTTTTAAACTTGATTTCCTGAAAAACTTGATGTTATCCATGTTATAACATTTCTATATCTAAAAAGGTCATAACCCTAATGTAGTATGTACATATATGTATAAGCAAATACTCAGCTACACATATTTTGTTTTTTTAGTAATAATTCGTCGCTTGTAAGTGTGTTTGTTAGGAGAATTTATCAGACTAAAATTTTAGAAAAATAATTGAACATCGCTGAAACTAACATCGATGTATCGTCATTTTAGCGATGTGGGAAAATTGTAAATATCGACGGCAAACATCGAATTTCAATGTTTTTGAAACATCGATGCATCGTTTTCATCCCTAGTGCGGGATAACCTCAATCAAAAAATGCGGAGGTTCGCTAATTGGCTTAGGTACCCTGTAGTCAAATGTCCTAGTGGTAAACTACCTCACAACTAGTATGAACAGCATGCCCAACTAGTCAGCCAACTATCTCCATGCAATCTACTGGTATTTTTAACATGGGGATGTCCATTCCATCCATTTCGGTTAGAAATATACCAGTCTCATACCAGTTCAAAATATACAGAAAAATACTAGTCCAATTATGGACCAAAACCACTACTTTAGGAGTCAAAAACTTAAATGAATTCACGAATATACAATAAAACACTTTTGATTAAGTACACTTTAATATATTTATCAGATTTGCCAACAATAAGCGTTAAATTTTTTGAGTATTAAGTAAAGGCAAAAATAAAAAAATAAATATTTCCAACTTTCGAACATAAATTTAAATGCATTTTTCATTAAGTGTTATTTAAAGTAAAAGGTTTCAGGCACAATAAATACTATATTTTTATCATTTTTAATAATATTGAATATGCAAAAGAAAACATTTTAGTTAAAAATAAAATGAATACTTTAGATCATTTTTGTGTGAACTAAAATGAAAATAAAAGTTTTCATTAAAATAAATTAAATTCATTAACATTGCACATTTCAGTCTTTTCTTTTTAAAATTTTATAAAAGTAAAAATTATTGTTTAAAATTTGAAATTTGGATAGGAATACAATAAATAAATAATTCAAGCAGCTATTAAATATTCTTAATTTTTGTCTATAGTTTGTCTTGATAATTAATAATAGAAATTAATCAAATAATTATAATCGTGTAATTAAAACAATTAAAAAATAATTGAAAATGATCCAAAATAACAAAATAATGATGTAATTAAAATTAATGAATTAATATTTAATCATTAAACGGTTATCCAAAAAAACATGCTTTAATTAATAATCATTATGAATATTAATCATTATTTAACGGGTCTGGTATAATTGAATACGTACTCGCTTCAAGGGTTTACAATATACCCAAATAAAAGTTATNAGGAGTCAAAAACTTAAATGAATTCACGAATATACAATAAAACACTTTTGATTAAGTACACTTTAATATATTTATCAGATTTGCCAACAATAAGCGTTAAATTTTTTGAGTATTAAGTAAAGGCAAAAATAAAAAAATAAATATTTCCAACTTTCGAACATAAATTTAAATGCATTTTTCATTAAGTGTTATTTA